CTAAATATATACTTTTTTTTTTGTAAATACATACTTATTATACATAGAAACAAAGACCAAATCAAACATTAAATGTTCATGCACAGCATTTTAGGGGCTCCTTAACGATTGTCACAGATGTTCGCATGGCAACCAAAACGTTTGTAAAGTTAATCAGTAAAGTATATAAATTTATTTCTTAACTTGCTTGCTTTAACGACCGAATGGCGTAGTGGTTTGTGTAACGGACTGCTATTCCAAAGGTCGCGGGTTCGATTCCCGCTCAAGTCAAACATTTGTGTTTATGAACATTTAATGTTTGATTTGGTCTGGGTGTTTCTATGTATAATAAGTATGTATTTACAAAAAAAAGTATATATGTATTTATATCAGTTATCTAGTACCCATAGTACAAGCTCTGCTTAGTTTGGGACTAGATGGCGTTGTGTGAATGTGGTAGAATATTATATTATTATTATTATATTACTCGGACTTCAAGACCCTGGCGTCATTCCGATAACCTAACTCTACCACCACCGAAAGAGTTGCTCAACACTGGTTTTAATAATAATGGTAACCAGACTGTTTATAAGCGTACTTATATATTTCTAAATACATACATATTATAGATAAAGTACACCCACACACAGAACAAATGACCGTGCTCATCACACAGTTATTTGTCCTGGGTGGGAAACGAACCCACATCCTGGCGTAGCAGTCAGGGTCACTACTAGACCAACAGGCCCGTCGAGCGCTTAGTACCACTCCGGGCCAGCCGGGCCATTTGTGCCAAAAAAGCTCTAACTTGAGAATCTTGTTTTTTTTTTCGTCAGTAAAAACCTAGAAATAAGTCAATGCTGATAACTTTTTACATCCTAGTAAGAAAAGACATTCATTGTACATTCGCTTTAAAAAAATAGTGACGCATCTTTCAAGCCCCGCCCCCTGACCAATCAGGTGCCCAGTAATTATCGTTTCGTACGAAAGCTTGGAACCTGATTGGTCAAGGTGCGGGGCTTGATCGACGCGTCTGCGTGGTGACGGATTAAGAATACGGAGTGACACCACCACTATTCATCATTCATCATTCAAGCATGGTTAGTAGGCCAAAACCTCTTTTCTAAGCAGAGGCCTATGTACAGTAATAGAATATTAAAAGCTGTTGATAATGATAAAAGATCAAAATAAAAACATTCTGTATAGAGTTTTTTTATTAAATGCTTTAATACAATACAATTCACAAGACAAATAACTTAAAAACTATAGTACCACAAATTATTTGTCAAAATATATGGTAATCACGTAATAATTTTCGTAGCTAAATTACTCTTAAACATAATAAACTTTCAGTATCATTGAAAATTCGTAATTTCTACCCTGTTAAAGGGTGCCTTATTAAAAGCAATAATTTATATCCACATTATCAACATATAAATTTTCGAAACCACGAATCATTGATGCTTTATGTTGTCAAAACTAATGGTGCGCGCTTAAGATATTTTACAGAATAACCGAACATTAAAAACTACATATTCGGTTTTTAATATTAAACCGAATATTTTGTGGCAAAATTTTAACTATTTAAAGTCAATTAAAATTTAAAATATTTCTAGCTGTCGAGACCTAACTGCACTGATTTTTATACAAAACGCTATTTCATAATTGTGTTCTTAAATTTAGAGAGCAAAGTATACAGAACAAAGAATATAAAACCTGGTTAAATACTCTTTGTTTAGAAACCTTCAATATTCGTCAAACTAAATTACATTTTCAGAATACGTGTCACTAAAGCCGTATAATCAGCTAAATTTTTACACATACTAAACAATAAACTAACTTTTGTCTACTTAAAAGCAAGTTCAAAAAGAGTCCTTTTATCGTTAGTAAATCTAAATGAGACAATAATTTACTAAAAAATCGAAATGAAAACGAAACAGCTGATTGGGAATAATGCTAACAAAACGTTTATAAAAAGGTTTTTTTCATCAGTATGGATTTTTTTCTGACATATCATCTAAGGTATCGTTTAGTATTAATCTGTATTCGTTTCTGTAGCATTTCCTTAATACCCTGGATATATTACATATAATTGATTTGTGTAAATACGCGAGACTGCTCTTAAGCGTTTTCTCAGCCTCATCGACGCTATACATTAACAGTTCATATTTGCATGAAATGGTATTTTGACATACGCCATCATTTTTGTATACAAGTGGGCACTGGTATGTCGTATTTTAGATGAAAATATTTAAAATACTGACATTAACACAAATTCCACTTAGAGGTAGGAATCATAGACAACTGCTAAAATACTTATATTTATACTAACAGTTGTAGGCCACGTTGAAAAGTTGTGTGCCAATGTGTAAGACATTGGACAGCCGAATCGGCACTTCCTAAACTAGTAAAAGTAGTATACCATGTCTATGGTTATAAATTCTTTGTCTCTCTCTCTCTCTTCTATGTGGTCTGCTGTAAGCATTATTGAGAAGGAACCCTCAAAAGCAAACATGACAGCTTTTTAATAAACATTGACTTTAAAACCGCGCACTATAAAGTTGTAAGCACAAAATGTTATTTAAATTTTGTAATCAAAGTCACATTACTACTAATATTAAAAAGGAAAGAATTTTTGTAGTCGATAGACTTTTAAATTAATTTTAAGGTTATGTTAGGGCCATAAAATTGTTACGAGCATTGCAAAACTCGCTCATCTAATATAATTTAATCTGTGAAATTTAGGAAGAGCGGTATTTTTAAATAATTTAGCGTCGTAAACAATATTTTCAATTTATCAGTGATCCGTACTTCACTAAATAAATAACCTAAAACTTTTTCTCCTAAGTTTCGGGAATATATATATTAAAATTTTAACTACAACTAAACGGTAATCAAAAACCCCGAATTTGAAGAGATTTTAAGTCTAAACAACATCAAACTAAGCATAGACATTAGTACTATCGATAATAGTTTGCCTTACATAACATAAATATTTGCTAATATTATACATAAGCAAATATTACAAATCGACTTTTTACCTGAACAGAGGTTATAATTCTTAAATCAGTCTTCTTTCCTTCCTCAATATCGCAATCATTTTGTGTTATCAACTTCTTTAATTAAACATATTTTATTAAGCTCATTAAACGATTCGTTCCTAATACAATTCGATTCTAAACTTATATATCAATACTAAAAGTGGCCAACGATGGTAAACTTTTATTTTCTATTTATTACTTTATGGCACCTATCAGCGTCTTCTACGTATTATCAATAAATTTTACAGATGCGTCACGTCATTACGATTATTTTTGCCTAATCTTAATTCTACCTGTGTATCTTTCGTCGGCGAAATTTGAATAGAACAGGTCTGGGGTGGGTGGCCTTTCCATGGATTTTTTTAATGATTTCAAAAACGCTTTGTCGTATAAATACCAATTGTCGTTTTTGCGGTACTTAGATATGGCAGTCAATCGCGTGTTGACCCACGCTTCGTAATACGGCTTTGTCTCCTGATTCACGGACGATGGTGCCCATTTTGCCACTTCTGTTGATGGCGACCTGAACACAATGTATTTTTTTTAGTTAAATGATTCAATTATCTAGGTTTTATCTTTAATAATCTATGATCTAGGCTATAATAAAGAGTAAATCATCATTAATATGATTTATCTGTTTTCTTTACCCCAACCTATCTTTTTCCTTTGTGCCACCTGAAACGTCTATATCCCCAAGGAGGATTGGGCATCAGGCAGATGGTCGACCATAAAAAAACCAACAAAACCCTTGTACAATATCAGGTACAAATTGTACCGACTCTGAATGAAATTAACATGATTAAGAAAACATGATGAATGACGAGAATGAAAAAAAAAACAATCAGTGGTGAACGTCTACATATCTGTTCTGTATGTTCTTTGACCTGTCATGGTGCAAGAACCGTATAATGTAACGCTGTCAGACTGGGCTCAAATACTGTGCTTATATGTATTTTCAGTGACAACACAATAATATTGTACAATTTGAGAGATTTCTAATGATGGAACCAGAAAACGGCGATAGAAATTTCGTAACTAAACAATCCATCGAGTTTGGGCACATTTGTTTTGTCTACTTTGGTGCTACATGATATGATATCCACGGTCTATAAAAACTGGTCTTAATTTTTCACAATTGAACTTTTAATTTTCCATAGCAACTAACCTGGCGTCCCGGATATCATGAATGGAGTTATCAGCAGTTCTTCTAACTCTTTTCAATTCTCTCCTCCTGGGTGACTTTTTTCGATTATATGCGGGCTTCTCCTTAATGCTCGGAGCAACACTTGGAGGTTCTAGAGACCGGGTATCAGTGTATTTACAAGGGTTCACAACCTTGGTACACGTAGCTGGATTTGGAATATTTATATCAAGAACTGTGCGTTTAGTTTTCTGTTCCACAAACGTCACGGCCTTTAGACAACCATTTTTGCCACGAATAGTTTTAATAAGTGGTTTTCTCTTATCTTTCGTTCCTTCTTTCGGTTTCTTTACATCTTCTGTTGCGTCTTTTGCTGCTGTGTCGCAATTCTCATCATTTTCTTTACGTTGTGGAGAATCTTGAGGCTTACTTATTGGTTCTATGGAGGCTGGAAAGTTAAATTAAGATTAAGAAAAGTCCATTCTTATGACTGATATACTGGTTAAAAGCACGCAATGGTGCTCAAAAACTTTTTATTGTTTAGCTAAAATAAACAGTAAATAATTAGAGGACAGCAACAGAAGTATCATTTTTGACAGTTGATCAAGAAAATCTAAATTGACTATTAATGTAATTAATTATAAATTGTACTTCAAAGTACCATAACAAGGTCTACATTCCAATGACAATCTATTGATCATCATCATCATCAACAGCCTGTAATAGTCCACTGCTGGACATTGGCCTCTCCTTCGAAAGGAGGTTTTGGCCCGCTGTACCACGCTGGCCAGACGGGTTGGTATAGGGTTTGTTTCAAGTTTTCCTTCTCTTTGCAGTGCTGTTGTTCTGCGTAGTTTGCTCTCTTAGTCGGCTCTTACGACACCCACAGGATGAATAGTACACTTCATCACACTACACTTCGTATTCTAAATCCGTCACCACACGGTATTGATACAATATTAAAATAGCAGAATTGAGGCCCAGACAGGTAACCGCAGACAGTAACTGACTAACACCGCCGCTAAATGCGTTGCCTCCCTATGAGTCCAGAATCTAGAAAGGTCCTGGAATCAGAGGGAGAGAGTGTAGCTTGGTCTCCGGTAACCTCACATACTCTGTGAAAAGTAACAATAGAATTGGTTAACACCGGTTTTCTGTTAGGTCGTGGTATCTCTACGTTCGAGCAGGCCCATTTGTGAAGCATAGCTCTCCCACGGTCAAACTGAGGACTACGGAAACCTAAATAAGTATTTTCATTCATAGACTCACAATTTTTCATCTCACTCTTGACACTAGTAAGTTTCGAAGGACTTTCTCTTTTGACCTGATGCGTGGGTTCGCTAGAGGTCTTTCCCTTCAAAGCGTACTTCTGACGGATCCTTTTCAGCTCCAGTACAGCTCTCTTTTGTGCTTCCATAGCCACAGTCTTTCTTTCCATTTTGGCATCTTCAGTTTCAAGAATTTTGTTGTTTTCTTGCATTGGTGTTTTCATTATTACATTCAATTTTGGTGGTTTAAAATCACCAGCAACAGCAGGTCTAAGATCTTCTTTTAGTGGTTTCATGTTAATTTTGTTCTTTTCTGGCCTTTATTAAAAAGAGAACATAAAAATAATACATTCAAACAAATTAACACGGCAGTCTGATCCCAAAGTAGACAGCGCCTGTGCTCCGGTAGCTAAACTGCAGATAAACATACCTAAATATTTCTAAATAAATACCTATTGTAGATAAATCACACCTAGAAACAACACAAATGATCGTGCTCATCACACGATTATTTGTCCTGGATGGGATTCGAACCCGCGAACTCCGGCTTAGCAGTCAGGGTCAGAAACCACTAAACTATCAAACCAGTTAAAATATTCTATGCATTGCCATACCGTCTATCCGATCATACTTAAATATTCCTTAAAGTCAAAGATTTGGAGGAAGTGGGGGGGGGGAGGGGGGTTTAGATATATATTAAAAGTAGGGTCATATTTATAGATGAAACTGATGGATGTTTTATCGGATATTGTAATTTTTATTTATTATTAGATGGATAAACGGCTGTGGGGTCACAAAAGTTTATTGACTACAAGTAATGTGATTATTTATTTATTTATAACTTTATGCGCATTTGTACATCGGCGGACTTTATGCCCAAGGCATTCTCTCCTAGTCAACCTTTAGGTAGTGTAGAAATCGTGAGTGGTAGGCGCATATAGGTTATAACACTAATCACTAAGACATACACCACACAACACAACACACGTAATTTTATACACAAGCAAATACACACTATACACATTTATATACATATTCATACACACACATATACATATATATAAATATACATACATACACAATACATTTATAAATATATATATATATATATATATATATATATATATATATATATATATGTATACATGTATCTACACACATACAGACATATATTCGTATATACACATATATTCTTGTCATAAAAATAATAAATATCATGTAGTAATCATCAGAGTTTTGCACAAATGCGTAAAAAGGTGATGTTATATTTTCGAAAACTGTACGAAAAATATTAACGAATCAGGATATCCTTTTAGAGGCGGTAGAGATAACTTAACGTTATGAGAAAAAATGTGTATGGAATTGCAGCTATGGTGGAATACTGCTGCAATTGCTTAATAGGTAGAAGAATAGTTGAGTGCTATGAACATGTCATTACAGTTGTGTGGTACCCCATAACTCAGGGGGTCAGGCATCCCAGGTACCGCAGGCGACTCAGGCGCCGGAGGTCGCAGAATAACCTCCGTCCTCCATAAGCGCAGGCCTGGGGGTGACAGGTGAGGCCATCTGTCACCCTAGCAGAAGCAGGCCGGGCTGGCGAGCGCGTTGCGAAGCGCGCTCGCTTCCGGGGAGCAGAGGGAACATGGGGTTCCCACACGGGGGGGGGTCGTCTACTCGTCTGTAGATGGCCCGAGGTATGTCGGGGCACCAGGGACTTCCTTTCTAGGGTATACCTGGTTCTCCGGCTATTAGTACCCGAGACGGTATGCGGATAGGTGGTATCCGAGGGGATTTCCGCACGGAAAAAAAAAGGGGGTCAGGCATCATCCGACAATAACAGCACCAGTAGAATCCCTCGATGCTGTAGTTATAAGAGATGATGACGAATGACCAATAAAAAATACTTTCGTCAACACTTTTTTTATTCTTAAGGTATTTTTTGATGATTATTTGATCTACTTCTATCTTCTAGATTCTATCACATTCACACAACGCCTTCTAGTCCCAAACTAAGCAAAGCTTGTATTATGGGTACTAGACAACTGATATAAAAACATATGTATATGCATTTTTTGTAAATACATACATATTGTACATAGAAACGCCCAGACCAAATCAAACATTAAATGTTCATGCACACAAATGTTTGACTTAAGCGGGAATCGAACCCGCGACCTTTTGGAATAGCAGTCCGTTACACAAACCACTACGCCATTCGGTTGTCAATATAGAATCAAGTCAGCTAAAAACGGAACTTTATCTGCTTAAAATCAACCTTTTTTATCCTAACCTCAAAAGTACTTTTAGCAATAATTAATTATCTTGCCTACTTAGATGTTATTTTCATACAGGTGGAGTTTATCTCACTATAATTTGTTTTTGTAAAATGCAGGTATAACTTCTTTAGAAATCGGGCTAAATCGGTTCTTTAAATAAAATCGGTTCAGGTGTTTAGCCGTGAGAGCTAACAGACAGACAGAGTTACTTTCGCATTTATAATATTAGCAGGGATGTAACATCACGAGGACAGAGCAGTGACAATAAACACTCCTGAACCTGTCAGGAACAGCTGCTCCTGTACGACGTACCTTTGGCTGATGGAAACCTTATTTGAATCCCCATCAGGGTACACCATTTTTGGTGTAATTTCCTCTTTTTTTAATCTCGCATTGTTGAACTTTGGTGCCAATGTCTTGGAGTCACCTCTATCTTTCACTTTTACATCAATTTTTTTCTCATTTTGTTCTGATCTTCGTACCATTTTGTACATTACCGTAAATTTTGTAATTTAGCAATGTTCACACTGTAAATTTTAAATTTCCAAACACATTTGCTGCAACCTAATTAATTTTCCGATGTCACGCCATGCCCAAATAGTTTTATAAATTCAAATGGTTACTCATATCGATGTTACCACGGTACGATTTAAAAAGTTTCGTTACAGTAAAAAAAGGTTTTGTCTACACCTATATTAACTTAGCCTAGTGTTGATCTTTTTTTATGACTAGTTGGCAAAAGAGGTGACGAGTCAATGATTACAGATAATAATAGTAGCCATCTAGTCCCAAACTAAGCAGAGCTTGTACTATGGGTACTAGATAACTGATATAAATACATATATACTTTTTTTTATAAATACATACTTATTATATATAGAAACACCCAGACCAAATCAAACATTAAATGTGCATGCACACAAATGTTTGACTTGAGCGGGAATCGAACCCGCGACCTTTGGAATAGCAGTCCGTTACACAAACCACTACGCCATTCGGTCGTCAAAGATGGCGGAATTACCTACTTGATAGATGCACGTATGCATTTGTAAGTCAAGAGTTCCAAAACCATTGCCGTCCTTTGAGAACTCCTCAACAAGCAGTCGATTTGATTCCGTTTGATGATAGGTGGAGTCCGAAAGATGGCGGAATTACCTACTCGATAGTACACCTCCCTATTTACAGTGTATGAATTTAAAGTATATGTATTTATGTGTATTTATGTATATTTATGTAATGTAAGCAGGACAACAGCACTGCAAAGAGAAGGAAAACTTGTAACAAACCCTATACCAACCCGTCTGGCCAGCGTGGTATAGTAGGCCAAAACCTCCTTTCTAAGGAGAGGCCTATGTCCAGCAGTGGACTAGTATAGGCTGTTGATGATGATTGATGATGATGTATGTATGTGTGTGTATGTATATTTATTCCAATCTGTGGAACGGGTTATCGTCTGCGGTATTTCCAGACCGATACGAGCTTCAAACCTTCAAGAAAAGAGCGTACTCCTTCCTAAAAGGCCGGCAACGCGTTGGTGACTCTTCAGTTGCAGACGTTCATGGGCGGCGATAGTCGCTTTCCATCAGGTGACCCGTCTGCTCGTCTGCCCCCTCTAACATAAAAAAAATGTATATGTGTGTGTAAAAATGTATATGTTAGTTGAAATTATATATATGCTACTATTACAGCTGTGACGTCAGTGCACCTACCTCGCCAGATTTCTACACCACCCAAAGGTTAGCTGGTAAAGAATGCCCTGGGCATTAAGTCCGCCGAAGTACACAAGTGCATAAAGTTGTAAAATAAATAACAATAAAATAAATAAATAAATTTCTAAAAAAAAGGGTGTTTGGAGGAACAGATGTCGTGTCCCTCGAACACAAAGGGAAGATGATGATGAGGGAGGTGATTATGCCTAGCGGGCCGCAGCCCCACGGTTGCTGTTGGGTAGTTGTATATACGCTAATCGGCGAGAGAATCCTTCATATCGCGATACAGGATTAGCAATTCTCATTCAGGAGTTACTCCGTAATTCGGTGTGTCTTCGTTAGATGGCGCTGTAGTATGTTCCTGTTTCGTTGCATGTGGGAGTAGCCACAGGGTTTATTGCTACCTCTAATTCTAGGAGGACTTATAATAACTACCCCTGGTTATCCGTGACCCGTCTGATCGCCGAGTCACATGTTTTACACATCACATGCATATCTTCATCTACTGTGAATCTCTCGTTTTATATACTTTTCAGGTAGAGACCTATTTCTTAGCGTTCTATTGATTCACCGTGCTCCGGGTCCACCGCGTGGTAGATGGGGACAACACATGTGACTTCGACAGCGCCGGGGAATTGAGACCCAATAATAGATTTAGGTTCAAAAAGAGTATAAATCACACGACTCTTCTTGATGACCAGACTGCATTGATCGAACGGACTTTGACTGCACGGATGGCGTAATGGTTTAAGCGGTCGCCACGCGGCTTCCTACTACGCTGAGTGTTGTGGGTTCGATCCCCACATGGGACGATACTTTGTGTGATCCACAAATTGTTGTTCTGAGTCTAGGTGTTCTTTGTGTCCGTTTCATGTATGTTTGTAAAGTCCTCCGCGACACAGGATATATTCCTAATGCGGGAGTTGTATTTAAAAACAATAACAAAAAAAACGAAATAAAACTGGACTTGTGTGCACTTCGACCTTTTTTAATGGCAAGCTTTGCAATACATCGGCATGAATTTAATTTTATCTATGTTCTATTCAAACTTTATGACATTGACATTTACAATGTCAAACAAAAAAAAATCCTTGAACAAAAACAAAATAAAAATATGGTTCACCAAAATTATTAATCTTTTAATTTGAATACAAATCAAACAGCTTAAATGTAATGTTCAAAGCAATATGGATAAAATCAAAACTAGGGTTTTGAAATCAAAATCGTCAAACACAACCATATCCAGAGACAGTAAAAAACAGGATAAAAAAAGTCGTAGTAACGCTGAAATTCAGCCATTATCTTTCAAGAAACGAGGTGTTTATGTTGAGAAAAAATCGACTAAAACATCCATGACTGAGGATAGTAAGTTCCTAGTTTAATTAAATCGAATCATCAACTGCTAGGTTATTCCAGACACACCGTGGCGTTGCATAGATATGTCGTTGGTTAGAAGCGCTCTAAGGAATTGCTTGTGATGGTAACAGCAGTTTTTTTGCCATCGTTCAACGATACAAAACTTCTATCCTCATCATTTGGTCATACACCACATCATCATCAACAGCCTTTAACAGTCCACTTATGGATATAGGACATCTCTTTAGAAAGGAGGTTTAGGCCTACAAATCAAGCTGGCCAGACGGGTTTGATATAGGATTTGTTTCAAGTTTTACTTCTCTTTTTGCAGCGCTGTTGTCGTGCGTAGTTGGCTCTCTTAGTCAGCTCTTACTCACGGTACTCACTTAGCATTTGACCTATCAGCTTGTTCGCCCAAGATGTCATAAAAACATCGACACTCAATCACAAACTTTTAGTTACAGTTGAAAACACACCAAAGAAACCAAAAGTTATACCACGTCCAGGCAAGAAACGGTTCCTTGACTCAATTCTAACCATTTTATCTAAATCCACTACGGGTACCCAATTTCCAGAAATGTCTGATAAGAATAACAAGATCAAAATGAAGAAGAAGAAACTCCACGAACAAAATTTAATCGGGGATCTAAACACTATAAAGAAACAACCCAAATACAGATCAAGAGTTTTGAACGTGTATAAAGATTTAGATATGGATAAAGTTGTCGTACTTCAGTCTAAAAAAGAAATTATTCAGACTCCATCAAATTATTCACAGAGAAGTAAAGACAGGGAATCTATTAAATGGTCAGATATGATACCTCCACAAAAGACAGACAGTGATGTAACAGTTGTTCACACGGATGCGAAAGACCAACAACTATCTCTAATAGACCACATCGAATACGGGAACGAAGTAAACGAAAGAAATGACACTCGTATTCGCAATAATAATGAACCAATAACACTAATTGCTAAGGAAGAGCAGAAAGATAACAATAAATTGTATGACTTTTTTGTTGATCTCCTTGAATCTACATTTAATGTGTACAACGCAACCGAACAGAAAACAGAACCTGCAGCGAGCAGCAAATCATCTAAATTGGTTTTGGAACCCCACGGATCGGAGGATAATAAATTCAATACTGAAAATATTATAGATTATAACGTCATTGATAATAAATTTAATATCGAAAATGTTATAGATTATAATGGCATTAATAATGAATTCAATATGGAAAATGAATACAATGACATCGAAGATACACGGAATGAAGAAAGAAAAACTAAACAGGAGTATTTAATAAGTGATGATTGGGACAACACTCTACTAGACGACGTTCCATCTTTATCTCTTCGAGATATTTGTCCAGAACAACCTTTAACAGCACCAAAAGTTAAACGAAAACTTAAATCTGAGTCGTTTTCGTACAAAAAGAAAAATGTACCACCGGTCACCAGGAGTTTTATATACCAGAATGTAAACACGCCCCCTAAGAAAAGCAGTAAGAAAGGTAGGAAGAAGAATTTACTAAATTTATTAATAGAACAATTACAAATGGAAGCTAACAGGTTCGAGCCTCCAAAAAATTTCTTTGAATCTCTGCAAATGATGGCTAAATATAAAAATCGTTGTCAAAAGTCCATACATTTTGAGGAGTCTGCTAAAAAGGTGAGTGAAGGGAGTGTGTATGATTGTATGTACAAACGATGTCGAGTACTCTCAACCACCAGCAAGAACTCTTCCAAATCTGCGGCGACCAGGATTGGATCGTTCCGTTCCTTCTCTCACAAGTCAACTCTGTACAGTAGAAGTAAGTCTCGAATAGATTATCGTCTGGATAACGATGCTGCATCACGTCTGTCATTGGCCGTCTATACTTTTGAAGGAAATCAACAGCCAATGGTTACCAGAGAAAAGCAAAAAAAAGGAAGTCACTTATGAACCTACAGTATCAACAATGTTTAGTAGTAGTTCAATTTTTAGCAGTGTTATTGAGCCGGAGTCATTTGGTCAATGGTGATCGATTACAAAAATAATAATAAAAGTTACCAATTTTTATCTTGACCGTAATTACCATAACTTTACACACCTCACTCATGGCAATAAGTTGGCCTACCATGAGCTCCTAAAACAGGCCGAAAATTGAATGGTATTATTATTATGTACCATCATCATCAGCTTTTAATAGTCCACTGCTGGACATAATTAGACAACAAAATTTAGAAAGGAGAGGCCTCGGAAATTTATTTCTAATTTTGTATACTTATGTCAACATAACAAATGTTGTTCAAAAATAGGCAAGACATTTTGACACCTTTTTTCACTCGAGTATTTAATAAATATGCGACTAAAAAACCTCTCAGGTGTTATTTATGTTTGTTTCATCGAAAGAAATAAAGATTGTTCAAAGTACTTGATAATGAGCTATGATTATGTAAATAATTAGATTCTAGGTTTATAAACCCGAAATATCTATAACGATTACGAGAAGTATTTTAGAAAGTTCGGTTTATATCGGTATAGGTGTGTTGGTGCCAAACTGACCAGAAATAATTATTCAGGTCAGAAATTGATACATTGCAACTGCAATGTATGAATTTCTGACCAATGCAATTAATCAATTTCTATTGGTACGATAAACATTTTTTTTATTTAAAAAAATAGAAAACCTGTCTGGTTACATGTAAAGTTGAGCTGGTCGGAACTTGGCAGTTATTCGAAAAGTTTATGGTAGGTCCCCTGATCTCAAACTGGGCAGAGCCTATACTATGATAACTAGACTTCTGATAGACATACTTATACACGGTGATTTTTTAGGCGTTTTGGAAACGAATCATTTTAATTTGGAATCATCTATAGTACCAATAAAAATGATTAAATCAATTGTAATGTTGTCTAAAAAAAAGTTTCAGTTTTAATATTCATTTTTACTCGATCGACTTGGAAAGTAGTAATGGACTGATCATTCATTCATTATCTTATATGAATGAAACACATCCGTGGGCGTTTCGGCGGCCGCTGCGCACCGCTGACGCTAACAGCAGCTGATAAAAGTATACCTATAGGCGCGAGCTAGCGAGTACTTACGTAGATAGACTCCAATTTGTCCTTCATACTTTACACGGGCTTAGGATCATCGGAAATACCTATTTTATTTAAACTTCTTTTCGATTATTAACCACGATTGTTCTTTTCACAACAAATCAATTTATCAACGGACTGTAGGTATAAATATTTCAAGCGTATTTAAAAAATCGGAGCTATCTACAGAATAATTAATTACATAGCTATTTACACTATTTACACTTCTCTGTATCGAGGCAACTGCTCAAAATGGAGTCCGCTGCATTCAATACACAAACGTACACGTTTAATGCAATTGTTTTTTAATTTTCTTAATGTGTCTCTATCACTTTTCACTTTATCAAAAGCGTCCACTATCGCAATGCGTTAATTATCACGGCTTTCATATTCCCGTGTATAAACAAGTATTTTTATTTCCGACCATAAGAAAAAATCCAGGGGCGTTAAGTCCGGGCTTCTAGGTGGCCAAGGCACTGGCCCTCCTCGACCTATCCACCGATCACTAAACTCATTGTCCAGGTATGCACGCACTACACTCCGGCGAATAATAATTTAAACGTCCTTGACCTTGCGCGTGAGTATAGTATTTCTATTCGTAGTATTTACCTACTTGCGATTGAAAAGCCCTACTACTGGTTCTCACCTTTTCTCTGTAATCGATATGAATATCGACTTTGATGATAAAAAATATATATATTTTATTAAATTAACGTTATATATGGCTTCTGTTACTGATAAATAACTCAAAATTTTCTTTTCCAAAACGCTTTCAAAATCACCGTGTATAGGTATTAATAAATATATGCATATACATTACATTCCGTGTGGTGACGGATTAAGAATACGGAATGTGACCACCCCTATTCATTCCGTAGGTGTCGTAAGAGCCGACTAAGGGAGCAAACTATACGCAGTACAACAACACTGCAAAGACAAGGAAAACTTGAAACAATACCCGTATTGCCAGCGTGGTTTAGTACGCCAAAACCTCCTTTCTAAGGAGAGGCCTGTGTCCAGCAGTGGGCTGTTATAGACTGTTGATGATGATGATGATGATGATATACATTAAACCTAGACACAGAACGAACGATTGTGCCTATCACATAATTGTTTGTCCTGGGTGGAATTCGAACCCACGACCTCTTTCTTAGCAATCAGGGTCACTGACTACTAAACCAACAGGCCAGTCTAGTTTTTTTTTTATATTTGACATATTAAGTAATGTAGACAGTTCAATCGAATTTTGCAGGTACCCTATCTTAGTGGAAACTTCGTTAGGACGTATAGATACGTAACCTGAGCATGTTTGAACAACTGCAGTTTTAGTCCCCCGTACCATCCAAGACTTGAGCTTTTTTTATGGTATAAGGAGTAAGGCCCACGGTGTGTTCGTTCCGTGCCTGGGCCTCAATTTTGCTATTTTAATATTGTATCAATTGACTGTCGTCGGAATAGTTTTTCACTTTTCGTATTCCACTAACTATGTGAGACCAATGGCCTCCCGATGACTTGCACTGAACTGCAACTAATACAAATGTCGATTTCTTTGTAATAGTTTGGTACAGTACAGTGGCTTGTACGTTAATATAAAATAGTAGAATTGAGGCCTTGATGGTAAGTGTAGTCAATTACCATCAGGTGAGTTGGCTATTGTCCAAGTTCCAGCCCTTTGAGACCCTAAAAGAGAATAAGAGGATGAAAAACAAAAAAAAAGAATTCATACGACAAGTTCCCCAGCTACTGGTGCTCGAGACGGAGTGCGGTTTTTGGTAGGTTCGAGTGCGACATAACCACCGGTGGGTGTTATCCGAGGGGGTTTGCGCACAGAGAAAAAAAGGGGCATACGACGGATCACCAAAAAGCCTAGTTTTCTAGCCTAGTAGACTAGTTTTCTTCTATTAAAAAAAATTCAAAATGGCCCTTAACACGAATTTCGCATACTTATGTAAAATTTGGAATAATTAAAATTCATGTACACAATTTTTCAGACATTCTTGTTGCACCATAGGATTAAATGGTTCGATCGTATGGAATGTGGAGGACAGCGCCATCTAGTATCGACTCAAGTACATCTATTAAGATTGTGATCAATACGAGTAGTTCTGATCCTTACAGCGCTAGATGGCGCTGCAAGTAACGCGTGACTGATTCTGGAATATTCTTATTGTCTGGAACAGACTATCGATTTTCTAGTACAATTCAAAAGCGCTATAAAAGCGAAGCGTGTTGACGTTTGAGGCAGTCTCGTTTTACGACACAGCGAATTAACATCGGAGTGAATTTCTAGTGCGACTCAAGATATACTCGTATAGTGATTTCTAGTTTATTATAGTCAGTGTTTGTAAATACGGTGAAATAAAGTAATTAACCGACAACTTTTATTTATTATATACCCCGCTCGTAACAGTATACTCAGTTACAAAATGAAATATTACGTAAACATGGCCACCTCAAGCTGCACGGATCTCTTACCCCGACCTGACCTGCGTAAGGAAAGTCCATACAATGAAAGCTCAAGATACATTGGTTAATTAAATAAAAGCAAGGTTATTTTGGTATTTATGAAGATATAATAAAGCTAAGAAACAAAATATATTTTATTAATAACATTAAAGGCCGTAGACAGCGACTACACAACATAATGTTGAACAAAATATAAGACGAAATGTACTGGAATCGTAACATCTTTCTCTAAAGGTAGAGTGAGACAGCAGTAGGGACGGGACAGTGACGTAGTGTAAGCTGTTCATTATAAAAAAGGAAATTTAAACTTGACACATCTTAAACATAAACTAAGCACAGCCTCTACTATGGTAACCAGACTGCTGATAAACACACATCTGTTTGTAATGTAATAACTCCTCCTAAACGGCTGCATCGATTTGAATGAAATCTTGTGTGTATATCACAATGGGTTCCTGGATGGTTATGAAATACAATTGGACACGGTAGGTGGCGCTGCCGGTGCTTTATGGTGCACCGGTGTGGGTGGCGGCTCTGACCGCCCCGAATAGGGCGCGCCTCTGGCGCCCCCAGAGGATATTGGCGGTCAGAGCCATACGCGGATACCGCACGGTGTCCACCGAGGCGGCTTGCGCCTTGGCCGGAACACCCCCGTGGGATTTGGAGGCGGAAGTGCTCGCCGAAGTTTATCGGCGAGTGGCTGACTTCCGGGCGGAGAGCGGATTTCGCCCTCCGCCCGAAGACGTGCGCGAGTGGCGCGAAGCCGCTCGCCGAGCCACTATGGTGAGATGGTCGTTCCGGCTGGAGACTCCACGCGCTGGCTTCGCCGCCGTGGAGGCTCTCCAGCCGGTCATCGCCGAGTGGGCAGGGCGGCAGCACGGGACCCTTTCCTTCCGGCTGACGCAGGTGCTTTCCGGGCACGGTTGCTTCGGAAAGTACCTGTACTCGGTCGCTAGGAGGGAATCGAGTCCCGCCTGCCACCACTGCGACTGCGGTGAGGATTCGGCCCAGCACACGCTGGCGGTTTGCCCCGCATGGGCGACGCAGCGCCGGGCCCTCACTGCAGTCATCGGAGCAGATCTCTCGCTGCCGGCCGTAATTCGCTCCATGGCCGGTAGCGACAGTTGTTTTACCGCGGTCGCAACCTTCTGCGAGGAGGTAATCTCGCAGAAGGAGGCGGCGGAGAAGGCCCGGGAGGACGACCTCCACTCGGACCTGAACCGCCGCCGGCGAACCGGGCGGCGGAGGCGCGCTCACCTGCGCCTCATGCCGCCCTGAGTGTGGCCGCGGGTGGACGGGATGGGTTCTCCCCTCCACCCGCATTAGTTGGCCAGCCGCGAGGGGGCGGCGTCCGCGTGTGCCGGACGCCGCCTAAAGAGAGGGTCCACTGAGACGGAGCCCGCACCAGGAGCGGGCCGGCGCTGGGAGGGGTCCAGAAGGCGATAACTACCTGGACCCCTCCTAAACTGAAAGCGCAAAGAGGGCACACCGTGTGGTTTTAGTCGGTTCGAGTCCGACACACCGCCCCGCCGAACGAGAGCCCCGGCGGGGTGACGGTCCGAGGGGATTTCCACACGTAAAAAAAAAAAAAAAAAAAAAAAGGTGGCGCTGCCGGTATGTCACCAAATTTATCACCTGATTTATTCATTTTGCTAGTATATTTCTGAAAACATAAATATTATAGAAAAATTACATCCAGACACAGAACAGACGATCGTACACATCATACAATTATTTGTCCTGCAAAGAACACGATCGGTAGGAATCGAACCCACGCCCTCTGGCTAGATAAAAAATACAACTCGCTCACGTAGCGCCACCTCATGCCCCCAATTATTTTCTTTGTTCTTCTAGAAGTACCAAGCATAATCGATTTCCCATCCGTATTCTATAGGCCACCACCATCTGGTTTTTGGGGTTTTGGTATAGTTATGATAGTAATTTTTTATATCCTTTATATCTTCAAGTTCTTCATAATATTTCGCCCAGTTAAATTTCTTTCTAGTAGTCGGCTTGCGCGTTGTCGAGACGTATGCTGTCTGAGGTGCAACGTGTTGCAAATCCTGATGCTTTTCTTCCTTTGCAGGTTTGCTGTTGGTATTCATATCAAATAAGTCTTCATCTACAAGACTAGTTTTTGACTTCTCTTTCTTCTTTTTCTCAACCGCCTCTTTTATTTCCTCATCTAATGTCAAATCTCTATGCTTAACGTTTAAAGGCGTCTCAATTTCATATTTTCTTTCAACTTGTGATAGCATTCTTACTGTAATTTAAAATAATTATTTGCATATGTATATAAAATGTTAAGTCGGTTTGAATAAGTTTCGAATTCTCTAAAAATTTTTGTCCTGGGTAAGATTCGAACCCACGACCTTCGGCTTAGCAGTCAGGGTCACTAACCACTAGACCAACACACCAGTTATCACCACTAGAACAAAAGGAAATCAATAAAACTAACAGTTGAAGAGGGATGTTAAAGGTTGTGTCAGATACCCAACGATTAAAAAAAACCGGTCAGGTACGAGTCGAACTCGTGCGCCGAGGGTTCCATACCTACTTGATCATAAAGATTGACATAAAGTGATCTTATAAGGGTTCCTTTTTTACCTTTTGAGGTACGGAACCCTAAAAAAGGTGCTCCACACGTCGCGGTGTCATTAGGTTTAAGTGAGCGTTTTCTAGTAGTTTCTTGAGTAGTTGTTTTTATTGTATCGGAATACAAAACCCTAAAATTACGCAAAACAAATGTTCTTTTTAGAAACCATAAAACTGTGTAAGAAGAGGGTTGCTTGTTACACCAAGGAACCCATCATCATCTTCTTACACTTTTATTAAATTTAATGGGGGTTGACACAATGAGTTATTTTCTTTCCTTCTCCTCTATTACTCTTCAGTTCACTGCTTACTTCCTTCCTAGCCGTATCCTTTCCCTCAGCCCCTTTTTTTTTTCTTTTTTTTCCGTGCGGAAATCCCCTAGGATACCACCTGTCGGTGGCATGTCGGACTCGAACCGACTAAAACCGCACGCCGTCTCGGGTACTAATAGCCGGGGAACCAGGTATACCCTAGAAAGGAAGACCCTGGTGCCCCGACATACCTCGGTTCATCTACAGACGAGTAGACGACCCCCCCCCCCCCTGTGTGGAAACCCCATGTCCCTGTGCTCCCTGGAAGCGAGCGCGCTTCGCAACGGCCTCACCTGTCACCCCCAGGCCTGCGCTTATGGAGGACGGAGGTCGTTCTGCGACCTCCGGCGCCTGAGTCGCCTGCGGTACCTAGCCCGTTCCCGGGCCTGGCGGGCCGGGAGAGTTCTAAACCTCTCCCGGTCCCGCTCCGCCTCCCTCAGCCCCTACATCTTGGTTTTGGCCGTTCTCTACTCTTATATCCGGCAACTGCCATACGTAAACCTTCCTTCACTACATTTTTCTCATCTCTACGCATCACATGTCCAAGCCAACATAACCTGTTGCTTCTTAACTTTTATTTATTTACACATCATGCACATTTGGTGCATTGGCGGACTTAATGCCTAAAGCATTCTCTACCAGTCAACCATTGGGTGACGCAGAGAAAACAGCAAGTAGGTGCATTTTAGTTAAAGTTGATTTTAGACGATTTTTAGATGTATACTTTATATACTATACTTTATACTAAATCATATAATTTACGATTATAAGATACGACCTTCAAGAAAAGAACGTACTCCTCCCTAAAAGGTCGGCAACGCGTTTGTGACTCCTGAGTTGCAGACGTTCATGGGCGGCGATGGTCACTTTCCATCAGGTGACCCATCTGCACGTCAGCCCCCTCTAACTTAAAAAAAATGCACATATATACCTGTCATATACTACACCTTTACATAATAATATTACATTTAAGTCAAATTCTCTTGCACCTACATCATCATTTTCCTACATCACCCGAAGGTTGGCTGGCAGAGAATGCCCTGGGCATTAAGTCCGCCTGTTTACAACTTGTGCATATAAATAAGTTAAAAAAAAATAGTTAAAAAAAAACTAATAAACACGCTTTTTATAGAAAACCAAACTAAAAAATAGAAAATAAATTTTAATAAATTTGAAAAAAACCGTTGGGTGCCTGTTGTCAATAGTAAAAAGCACGCCACGCTTTTATTCAAATTTATTACAATTTATTTTCTATTTTTTAGTTTAGTTTTCTATAAAAAGCGTGTTTTTTAGTTTTTTAAAACTATTATTTTCTTAAATATTTTTTTAAATTAGTGTATTGTCATCGGTCCTCGATATATCTACAAAGTTTGAACGAATTCTGACCGTTTAAAGTCAGTCAAAATCACGCCCAAAGGAGTCGGTTACAAACAAACATACAAGTGAAGCTAATATAAAGCGTGTAAAAAAAGTACTTTTAATCCACTGCTGCTGCTTCAGGCTTCCGCTAATGTAGTCACTCCTCACCTTGACCATTCTAATCACACCACACATCTATCTGAACATTCACATTAACCCATCTCTTTCCATCAGGTGACCCTTCTGTTACTCTGCCCCCTCTATCATAAAAAAAAACAGGTGACCAAGGATCTCCAAAAACATAGATAAAAAACTGGCCAATTTCTCGTTAACGGTTTCGGCGGCCTATAACGTCGAATTAGCTGGTCGACTAGTACTCGTAAACGTGAACACTTATCTGTGATATTTTCCTTTTAATTCATTATATATGTATGCTACTACCGTGATTTTTAGGGTTCCGTATCTCAAAAGAAAAAAAAACGGAACCCTTTTAGGATCACTTCGTTGTCCGTCTGTCTGTCAAGACCCTTTATCTCGGGAACGCGTTTAGGTATCGAGTTAAAATTAAAACCATATACTTAGGTTTACAGTCCCTTGAAGCTGTGTAAAAATCAAACTCCTAAGTTAACGTAAAAAAAGAAACGGCCGCAAAAAACGCATATTTCGACACTGTCAAAGGAATCAAAACTCATAAGGTACTTCCCGTTGACCTAGAAATATGAAATTTGGCAAGTAACACCGTCTTGTACTACAAGTACAGGGATTTTTTTTAAAACTATACATTTGTAATTAAATCATAAAAATATAGTCTTTACTTAAAATACGTCAATCATCGAGGTACAATTTCACTTAGTAAACACATTATAAGTAATTATAGGTTTTGGAATCTTCTGAATTTCCTGAAAAGCTCGGAAAAACAGGGAGACTCGATCTAACCCATGGTGGACAAGTCCGACTCGCACTTCCGGATATTTTTCTTCAAATATTGTCGTTCGGTTAGGGGGGGGGGGGGGGGGGGTGGTTGTCACTTGATATCAACGCTTTAAGGCTTAATATCTCACAAACCGAAACCTAAATGAAATTAACAATCCCACTTTAAATGTTTTTTTTAAGGTTTATATAAAACCTTAAAAAAACATTTAAACCACTTTAGGTGATTAGTATGTTTGTTGGTGCGAAATTTCTAGAAGCTTCTAGCACTAGCACTGATAGCCTGTGAGATATCGTGTGTTCAGATAGACGGACGGAAATGACGAAACTATAAGGGTTTCTTATTTACCTTTTGGCTACGAAACCATTGAAAACGGTATCAATACTCACTTATGTGCTCCAATTGAAAATAACCATGTTCTATTTCTTCCAATAGTATAATTAATTCGAACAAAAACATTGGTTCGGGCCCAATTAACACGGCAGAATAATATCTGTCCAACATCTTCCGATATTTATTTTGTATTAAATGTATCAAATAACCGACCTACAATAAACACATTTATAATAGATTAAAAAATAGCTAAGAATACGGAGTGTCAGTGACGTGGGTGTACAAACATACATGAAACAGACACAAAGAACACCCAGACTCGGAACAACAATTTGTGGATCACACAATGTGTCGTCCCATGTGGGGATCGTACCCACAGCACTTAGCGTAGTAGCAAGCGGCGTAGCAACCGCTTAAACCAGTACGCCATCCGTGCAGTTATCAGTAGCCTGGTTATTATATTACAGTTTTTACCTAGTTTGGTATCAGACGATCGTGTGTGAGATGCGTAAGGTTATTATTAATGTTGGTCTGTCAGTCAAACAATCGTAAGTAATAATAATATTTATTGTACCAACACAAATACAGTTTGTTTAACATAAAACTAGTATAAGTTACACATTAAACCTGAGATCGGAGGCTCCGTTACCAAAACTAGGGAAAAAACCTGTACTTCAGCTTACGGCGCAATTACCAACGGGAATTTTAACTTAACTATCGTTAACAGACTATGTTCGTTGTATAAACTAAGTACATTAATTCTATAGTATTACCATACATCAATAATAAATGAAATGTGTGAAGTGATCCTCTTTTTACGTGTAAGTGTTAACTGCACGGATGTCGTAGTGGTGTAAGCGGTCGCCACGCCGCTTACTACTCTAAGTGCTGTGGGTCCGATCCCCACATGGGACTACACTTTGTGTGATCCACAAATCGTTATTCTAAGTCTGGGTGTTCTTTGTGCCCATTCTATGTATGTTTGTAAAGTAGCGACACAGGATATATTCCTAATGCAAATTTGTCTTAAAAAAAAAGTGTACGAGTGCGTGTGTGTAATATGACAGTGAATTACAATATTGTGGTTTAAGTTACCTCATAAGCAGCAGAGTTCAAATTGAGCTGTCTAATTTTCTCAAGATCATCCACGCTGTGCCAACACTCATTCAAAATGTCCGACATACTGTTTAAAATGTATAGACCACCAGGCTTTATATGATAGAATACGATATCATCTCTCGCATTTTGGCCACTGCATATCTTGACGTCTGAAATGAGAAGCATAAACGTAACTTACAATATCATCATCATCAATAGTAGGCCATCAGGTTATGGCCTACTATAACACGCTTTCAAGACGGGTTGATATAGGGTTTAGATGCTGGAGGGTCTTAATCGTGACCCCTGGGGTCGCCCTTACCGCGCGGTGCGACAAAAGCTCCGCGCGTCGGGCCCCCCCCCTTACGGAGACTCTCCAGCCCAGCTTCCTGCGAGAAGTGGTTGAGGGCCTTTTCCCACAACGGGCGGAACACACTCCCCCGTCGATGGCCTCCTTGGCCGGAGACGACGGGGAGCACGGGGAGGATAATGTTCCGCCCGTCCGGGAATCGGAGGTAGGGGCGGCTGTTCTACGGATCCGTTCCAAGAACACCGCCCCTGGGCCAGACGGGGTACCGGCCCGAGTGCTGGCCCTGGCCCTCAACCACATGGCAGACCGCCTCGGGGAGGT